TGTGGTGCTGGAGATAGGATCTAGGGCCTCACACTTGGTAGGAAACTGCTCTGCCACTCAGCTAAACCTTCAGACTTAAAACAGCTTTTATTATAAACAGAAACCAAGATGTCTTGATTTTTTAAAATATTTTTTAGTGTTGATGGACCTTTATTTTATTCGTTTATTTACATGTGGTGCTTAGAATTGATCCCAATGCCTCACACATGTGAGGCAAGCAGTCTACCACTGAGCCACAACCCCAGCCCCAGTTGATATTTTTTTTATCTCATCCTATCCTTAAAGAAGTGTTGGAACTGAATTTCTTCTTGTAAGAGTAACTGCTTGACACTGAAGTAAAAATCACACACAATAAAACTCTTAGTATCTGTATCAAAATACCCTAAAAACTAGTTTGGGCTTTACAAATCCTGTTAAATCTCTGGATTCATGATTTTGCTTCATTCCTAATTAATCAAGATTTTCCCAGATTTTTATGGAATATATGAAGTGATTTAGTCACATGGCTTTAGTATTTTTTTTTGTAATTCTTTTTCTCCTGAACTGAATTCTACCCTATGATACATAGTCATTCCCATTTGCCAATGTATTAATTACCATTGCAAGTTGAAATGATACATGATAGCCGGGCATGCTGGTGCACACCTATAATCCCAGCTACTCTGGGTGAGGCAGAAACATCTCAAGTTCAGGGCCAGCCTTAGCAATTTGTGGGAAGCCATTCTCACAGGTGATTGGGCACCTCCCTGATTGAGTGTGAGGTGTTCTGGCTAAACTGTGTTGGAACTAATCCCCACCCTTTCTAGGTGCAGAGCCCATCGTGTGGGGGTGTGACTGACCATTGACCCTGAGACCAATCACTGACCCTGACCTTGGAATGCTGTCCCCCTCGACCTTCATTGGATGGAATTTTCCCCTGAATTTCTTGTTCCCCCAATAAAAGGCCACTCTCTGGCATGCCCTGTCTCTCTCTCCTGCTAGTCTGTGTAAACCTCGCTGCCCCACTGGGTGGCTCGAGGCAGGAGCCAGAGGGGAGAGCCGTCTCAGACCTGGTCAAAGAAAAAGGTAAATTGAGTTTTGGGTGTTTATTTTGATCTCACTAGTTAACTTCTATGCTTCAAATCTCTAGTATGAAGCTAGCGTGCTGGTCACGCAGCGGAATTGGTGCCCACGAGGGAGCATTTTAGATTAACTAGATTGAGTGGGAGCGTGCTATAAAGATAAAGGAATTGGTGACAATTTTGGGTCACAAAAGTACCTGGAGGTACTGAAGGGAGACGAGACGTTAAGTTATTTAAAATGGGAAATTCAACTTCTAGTGATAAGGACATGTATTTGACAATTTTAGAAACCATAATTAATCAGAAAGGAAAACAGATAAAAAAGACTAAGTTATTTCAATTCTTAAAGGTTGTAGGTAAATTTTGACCTTGGTTTTGTGACCAAGATTCGCCAAATTTACCTACTTGGGAGAAATTAGGGAAGAAATTACAAAAAAAAATTTGCCTTTCTAATGAATTACCTGGAGGCATAGAAAATATTCAAAAAACTTGAACGGCCTTAGAAATATGTCTTTTTGATTACTTGGATCAGAACTCGTGGCCCCCTGAAGATCTATTGAAAGGCATTCAGAGAGCTATTAAGTCTATTCAAATGGAAAATCTGCCTGAGGCTAAGTTAATTTCTTTTCCCTTGAGCCATTTGAAAACGAACACTCTCGGGGCTAAACTGAAAGTTAGGAATGTAAGCTTGCCTAAAACACATCAGGATAGCCTAGAGGAAGATTGTAGAAGTCAGGGTCATAGAGAGGAAACATTCGCAGTCATAGAGAGTCCTCCGTAAGAGAGACAATCCTCCGGGAGAAGAAAATCCGGAAGAAATTCCTAGAGAGGTACAGAGCCCTTCTCCACCACGTGGCTTAGGAGCCCAATTTCAAAATGGCGATGGCAGAGATTCTTCCCAAGAGTCGCAGTCTGAGGAAGAGGAATCAGACATTGAAATTCAGGACTAACTGGGAAATTTTAACAGACTGCATTTAACACCACCTGCCCAGGCTATTAGAATTCGGCCATTATCTGCTAAAAGGACAAAATTTAACAGGTACTCTGAATTAACAATGACTTTTCTTACCCTGTTCCAGCGAGGCATTAAGAAAACGCAGGAGGCGGGAGAGGACATTAGCGGTTTTCATCTTTTCACAGTTTTTGAGCAGTTTAATGACCAGGACCAAAGGGTTCGAATTCATGCTATAATTCCATTTAAGACTATTAAAGAATTAAAGAGTGCTTGTGAGACTTATGGTCCAAATTCACCTTTTGTACAAAATTTGATTGATACCATATCCTCACAACCAGTTCCACCGAGTGATTGGGTTTCATTAGCCAGATCTTATTTGAGTGGCGGAAACTTTTTGCTTTGGCGGTCTTACTAGGCTGATTTTTGTGCTGAACAAGCAGAAAAGAATAGAAGACAGAATTTGCAGACCCCAATAGAAATGTTTTTAGGAATGGGTGAATTTGCTGATTTGGAAAGACAATTAAATTATGAATTTGCAGTGTATGATCAGTTAACTGACTGTGCTAAACATGCCTGGAAACAAATAATTTCCAAGGACTAGTCCAATTTAGTTCTTACCAGAGTCAAACAAGGTGCCAATGAGCCGTATTCGGATTTTGTAGCTTGGTTGTACCAGACAGCAAATCAGTCTATTGGAGACCCAGGAGCTTGTGAGTTTATTGTTAAGCAATTGGCATTTGAAAATGCAATATTGTCAGGATGTTCTCAGACCCCATCGGAAAAAAGGAACAGTTTCTGAGTTTATCCGCTTGTGTTCTGAGATTGATCCCACCCATTTGCAGACAGTAACATTAACCACGGCCCTGAAGCAAACTTTACAACCGCAGGTATTGGTACAAAAACCCCATGGGAGATGTTATCTCTGTGGTAAGGACAGCCATTTTGCGCGGAAATGTCATACTCATAATTTTAAGTTTAAGGCTCCTTTTGCTGTTGATAATACATATTGCAGGACTCAACCCCACATGGTGGATCAAGATGGCGTTGATCAGCCCGCCTTCTTGTCCTCATTTCTGCCTGGCCGGAACACAAACTTCCAGTCGGCCCTCCCCCAGGGCCGAAAATGAGGAAGTAGATGATGGTCGGGCAAATTGACGTCATCGTGCAGACCATAAGGGCCGCCATTTTTTATTTTACCAGAGCAGAACAGACTGTTTCCTTACAAACCCTTAATGATTTTCAAAAACTATTAGAAGATATTAATTGGCTGAGGCCATCCTTAAAACTAACCACTTCTGAATTAAGTCCTTTATTTCAGATATTACAAGGAAATCCTTCTCCAACCTCTCCATGTCAGCTGACCATAGAGGCTAGAGCAGCTTTAAAAAGGGTTGAAAATGCAATTAAAAATGCACAACTTACTAGAGTTGATCCTAAAGAAATAATGCATTTATTAATATTTCCAACTGAGCATACCCCAACAGGAGCCATATGGCAAAGATTGGGAGTTATTGAATGGATTTATTTAGGCCACTCCCCTCGAAAACATTGATTTATTTTCATGACTCTATTGCTCAATTAGTCATTAAAGATAGAACAAGGATTTTACAATTAATTGGATCTGAGCCTGATATCATAATTATTCCATTTTCTGTTCAACAGAATAATTGGCTTTTTCAAACTTCTAGCTTATGGCAAATAGCTTTTGCTGATTTTCCTGGCCAGATAGATAGTCGTTACCCTCATGATAAAATTATTCAATTTTTGCATCATTAACATCACTTATTTTTCCAAAGATTGTGTGTGCACACCCTATAGATAAAGCTCTATCAGTGTTCACTGATGGTTCAAGCTCAGGTAAAGCAGGTTTTTATAGTCGTGTTCACACAGAGGTAATGCAAACTTCATATACTTCTGCCCAGAGAACAGAGCTTCAAGCTCTGATTTATGTCTTAAATTACTTTGCAAATGAGCCTATTAATATTTATTCTGACAGCTTATATGCAGTCAGAGTTACCAAAAATATTGAAACTTCGGTTATTGGGTATACTTCATCACAAGAGTTATTTGAATTATTTCATAATTTACAAAAGGCAGTGCAAATGTGAAAATACCCATGTTTCATAGGACACATACAGTTTCACACTAATCTTCCAGGACCTTTAGCTTCAGGTAATGACAAGATTGATAAATTAGTAGCTGTTTGTCAACAGATGTCTTCATATGACTGTGCACAAGCTTCCTATTCCTTGCATATCAAAATGCTTCTAGCTTACGTAACAAATTTAATATTACCAGAGAACAAGCTCATCAAATTGTAAATCAATGCCCTAAGTGTGTTATTCACACTCCATCTCCACCATCAGGGGTAAATACCCATGGGTTAAAACCATATCAAATATGGCAAATGGATGTAACTCATATTCCTCAATTTGGTAAGCAATGTTATGTACATGTAATAGTTGATACATATTCAAGATTTATTTTTGCCACAGCACGTACAAAAGAAAATACTCAACATGTAATTTCTCATTGCCTAGCAGCCTTTGCTGTGTTAGGGTGACCTATACAGATCAAAACAGATAATGCACCACCTTATGTAAGCTCTTCTTTTCAACAGTTTTGCCAAGAGTTTCAAATTAATCATAAAACAGGAATTCCTTATAACCCCCAAAATCAAGCCATTGTGGAACAAGCTCATTTATCTATTAAGCTTCAATTACAAAAATTAAAGGGGCAAAATAGGTTTATGACTCCCCAAAATAGCCTCAATCATGCTTTGTGTCGTTTTAAATTTTTTAAACTGTGACGTAAAAAGTCACACTACAGCTGAGAGACAAATGTCTCCCACAGTAACAGACCCTTTAGGCAGAGTTTTGTGGAAAGATTTACAGACTGGTCAATGGAAAGGCCCAGACCCAGTGATTATGTGGGGCAAAGGTCATGCTTGTATTTTTCCAGAAGGTGCTTTTCATCCTATCTAGGTGCCTAAACGCGCAATCAGACATGGAAGAGATAGAACCGAGATTCAAGCAACTGAAGATCGACCCGGAGAAGCCCCCATTCAAAAGGAAGAGATATCAAAAAAAGACAAAGAGAAACCAGATTGACTCAGCCAAAAAGCTGATTTCATGGGAAGACGTGAAGAAGCTAACAACACAAGCTTCCCTAATAATTCGACTCCTAGGAAAAAACAGGACCCCAGTCTTGATGGTATCGATAGTAATTGCCCTGCTGGGCTGTCAGGTAAAGGGGAACCAGACAGACATTTACTGAACATATTTCCCAGATCCACCCCTGGTACACCCAGCTGTGTGGACTGGAGAATCTATTCCAGTGTTTACTAATGACTCATTCATGATGAGAGGATTTACAGATACTCATATTACTCCCAATCATGTGACTAGATTTAATTATTCTGGCTACAGTGCCCAATTACCTTTGTGTTGGTCCCACGATAAACATGCCTGCTGTCTGAAAGTATCATTTGAGGAAAAGACAGCGATTGGTAGACCTAGACTGACAAATAATTCTATTTATGGAGACGTAAAACCTTATACTAGATCAGTAATTAAGATGGGACTTTCCCATAACAAGCCAGTAATTTCTGCAAAACCTCCACAGATACCCCACTGTCCAAATAGTTCTACAATTGAGATTGGCACCTTTCCTAGATGGATGGATTGTGTAAATACTTTTCCTGTACAACATAAGGTATCTAAAGATAGTGGGTATATTTTAGACTGGTCTCCAAAAATTGATAAGAGACAATTACGAAAAAATTCTGCTATGACACCTGCAGGATTTGTTAGTAATATTTTGACTTACAGTGAGGATGATATTCAAAAAGATGTTTGGTGCTTAATTGCTGCCTCAGAATTCTTACATTTTACAGACAAGCCTTTACCAAAATTTGTTGGCAAGAACTGTAAGGAGGAATCTTGCTATGGCTTACAAGCCTGTGTCCAATCTCCTTACATTTTAATTATTGGAAATGTAAAAGTTAAATGGATAGATGACAGATACATTGTTACATGTAACAAATGTAACCTAACCAATTATATTACTAGGTATAATGGAAGAAAAGGAGTGCTGATCTTTCATTAGCCCTCTTTTATTTTATTACCTGCTAATATTTCAGAGCCATGGTATGCTGATGCTGGTTTACAAGTCTTGCAGCAAATTCATGCCCAGCTAACAAAACCTAAACATGCTATTTGAATTATAGTTGTTGGTGTTTGGGCATTAGTTTCTTTTATTGCATCCAGTGTTTCTGCCTCTCTGACATTGTCTCAAAATAATTCAACATGCAAAATTTCTTAATAATTTAGCTCAAAATACTTTCAAGGCTCTGCGTAATCAAGTAAATATTGATGAAAGGATTGAGACTAAATTAAACGCCTTAGAGGCAACTGTTAAAGACATAGGTAATGAACTTTGAGCCTTAAAGTTTAAAGAAAGGCTTAAATGCCATGCAAATTATAAATATGTGTGTGTTACAGCTGCCAAGTACAATGCTTCTCTCTGGGATTGGAGAAGGTTAAAAACCATTTGTTAAGTATTTGGCAAAATAATAATAATAGCTTGGATCTTTTGGAACTTCATCACCATATCCAAGACATTCAGAATAATAGAGCTGATTTTTCGGATCCTTCTTCTTTGGCTAACCAAATATTGAAGGAGTTAAATGGATTTAACCCTAGAAATATTCTTAAACTTTTCGGCCTGGTACATTATTGGATTGTTCTCTTTGCTGTTAATTCTCTTTTGTGTTGTAATTATAGGATGGCGAGTCTTCGAAACAAGCATGCAGAAACTCAAAAGAGTGAACCACTGCCTGATTTTTAAGAAAAAAAGGAAGGAATATGTGGGAAGCCATTCTCGCACATGATTGGGCACCTCCCTGATTGGGTGTGAGGTGTTCTGGCTAAACTGTGTTGGAACTAATCCCCACCCTTTCTAGGTGCGAGAGCCCATCCGTGTGGGGGTGTGACTGACCATTGACCCTGAGACCAATCACTGACCCTGACCTTGGAATGCTGTCCCCCTTGACCTTCATTGGATGGAATTTTCCCCTGAATTTCTTGTTCCCCAATAAAAGGCCACTCTCTGGCATGCCCTGTCTCTCTCTCCTGCTAGTCTGTGTAAACCTCGCTGCCCCACCGGGTGGCTCGAGGCAGGAGCCAGAGGGGAGAGCCGTCTCAGACCTGGTCAAAGAAAAAGGTAAATTGAGTTTTGGGTGTTTATTTTGATCTCACTAGTTAACTTCTATGCTTCAAATCTCTAGTATGAAGCTAGCGTGCTGGTCGTGCGGTGAAGCAATTTAACAATACCCTGTCTCAAAAGTAAAATAAGAAGGGTTGTGGGTATAGTTCAATGGTACAGCATTTATCTAGCCTGCATTGGACCCTTGGTTCAATTCTCATTACTCCCCTCCCCCCCCAAAAAAAACCCACTATGTAGTTATAATGTAGTTGATACCACATTGAAACATTTTGGCAATATATCACAACCTTTGTAGAGGCAATTAGAAAAAATAATGCAAATGCAATAGGTGGGAAAATGAATAAGAAACTCCCCATTCTGAGTTCATGTATTTTCTGGAATACAATCTGGGATTGGGTATTTCTTTCTCTTTTATTTTCTCTTTAGTACTAGGAATTGAACTCTGCCTCACACATCCACACGATCTAGCACCAAGCAACATGCCCAGTCCATGGAAATGTGTATTTCTGAGCCATTGTACTTGATCACTCATCAAGAGGAAAATAGATCATCTTCTCCATGCCAAAATTTTCAAATGTGTTTAGTTATGAAAAATATGTGTTGCCTGCAAATCAGTGGCATTGAGGCAGAAGATCACATGACATAAGAATTTAGAGTATTCATTATTAAATTAAAGCCCTTATTGGAATGTGATGCTAAAATCAAATATCTAAACATATGCCTATACCTTTGATTTTCAAGTAGATGTATGGATTTCAATTAACAGTTAATAAGAGAATACACATGGTATTCTACACAATCAGGATATACTTAATATGCTGCCTTCAAATTGGCTTTTTGATTACATTGGTTATGTTTTTTCAGCTGTTATTTGGCACAGACTAACATATTGATGCTTTGGGAACCACTCCAGGTTTTCTGTTGTACAAATATTACCTCAGAGCAAAACATATAAACTCTTCTGTGAATGTATTTGTCATATAGAAAAATGGGTCTCATTACCCTATAGTTCCATGAACCACAATATATATACTTTTTTTGTTCTTTTTAGTTATACATGATAGTAGAATGCATTTTGTCATATTACATATACATGGAGTATTACTTCCCATTCTTGTGGTTGCACATGGTTTAGTGTTACACTTGTCATGCATTCATATATGTACATAGTAAAGTTATGTCTGATTCATTCTACTGTCTTTCTTATTCCCATCCTCTTTCCCTTCCCTTCATTCCTCTTTGTCTAATTCAAAGAACTTCTGTTCTTCCCTCCACGACCCTCCTTTATGTGTTAGCATCTGCATATCAGAGAGAACTTTAGGCCTTTAGTTTTTTGAGATTGGATTATTTCACTGAGCATGATATTTTCCAGTTCCATCCGCTTACCTGCAAATGCCATCATTTCATTCTTCTTTATGGCTGAGTAATATTTCATTGTTATATGGACTACAATTTCTTTATCCATTCATCTGTTGAAGGGCACCTATGTTGGTTCCATTATGAATTGAGCTGCTATAAACATTGATGTGGCCATGTCACATAGTATATTGATTTTAAGTCTCTGGGGTATATGCCAAGGAGTGGGATAACTGGGTCTAATGGTGGTTCCATTCCAAGTTTTCTGAGGAATCTCCATACTGCTTTCCAGAGTGGTTGCACCAATTTGCAGTCCCACCAGCAATGTATGAGTGTATCGTTTTTTCCTCCACATCCTCACCAACATTTATTGTTGCTTGAGTTCTTGATAATTGCTATTCTGACTGGAGTGAGATGAAATCTCAGTGTAGTTTTAATTTGTATTTCTCTAATTGCTAGAGATGTTGAACATTTTTTCATATATTTGTTGACTATTTTTGCTTCTGTAAAGTGCCTGTTCATTTCCTTCCACACAATTCTTAATCACAAAGTGTCATGGTTTGGATATAAGGCATCCCCCAAAGCTCCTGCACTAGTGCAAGAATACTCAGAGGTGAATGATGAGACTATGAGATGTATAACCTAATCAATCCATTCTAGTCTGAATGGACTGGGTGGTAATTGCAGGTAGTGGGGCATGGCTGGAGAAGATGAGTTATTGGGGCATGCCTTGGAATCTATTCATCTTCCCTGCAGCCCCTCTCCCTTCCCTCTCTCTACCCTCTAGCCACCATGAATGAAGCAGCTTTTCTCCACTTGCCCTTCTGCCATGATATCCTACCTAACCCTAGGCCCAGAGCAATGGACTCCTCTGACCATGGATTAAACCTCTGGAACCATAAGCCGAAATAAACTTCCCTCTTCTAAGTTGTTCTTATAGGGTATTTTGGACACAGTGATGCAAAAGCTTCAACACACAGGATGAAGTAAATGTACCATGAGCCACAAAAGAATCATGGGAAAATACAGAGGAAACCAATCATGTTCATCTAAGCAGCTCCACCTTCTAACTTCACCATTACTTTTATTGGTTTAAAACCATATCAGAGCCAGGTCTTGTGTCACATGCATGCAATCCCAGCTACTTGGTAGACTGAGACAGGAGAATCACAAATTTGAGGCCAGACTGAACAACTTAGCAAGATCCTGTCTCAAAGCAAAATGAAAAGGGCTGGGGATGTAGCTAAGTAGCAGTATGCTTGACTACCATGTGCAAAACCTAGTAGGCAAAACCAAAAACCACACACACACACACACACACACACACACACACACACACAAATACATATTAGTGATTTGGGGTTACTATTTGGAGCTTGAAATGATAAGAAAATCTTTCTTCAATTTGGATAATAAGAACTATTATTCTCATATTCAGATTTAGAACTATAGGTTTTTATTTTTTAACTTAGATTCATTACATCAATAGATTATTTCTTCCATGCTGAACAGTTCAATGATATGGAAGGGACTGAACAGTTCAATGATATGGAAGGGACATGTGGGATCTTGGCAGGATTTATTAAGATGAGAGAAATGGAGTCTTTTTAAATGGTGATGAGAGTGAGTCAGCAGACCAGGGGAAATTGAAGATAAAAGGTAACAGAAAATTGATAGTCTAAGATTCCTAATAAAGTAGGAAGAGGGATACTTCACCCATAATATTACTTAGCACAAGTAGGATATGGGTACAAGAATCATGCAAAGTCTTTGTCATTTGGATGGCTTCCATCCTGCATTCTGTGGGAATGTAGGGGGGTTTTATTTGTTTTGTTTTGATCTTGTCATGGCAATTTAGGCTCAGGAGGGACATTGTTTTGTTGGTTCTCTGCTATGCATGGCAGCAGCAGACCTAGGAACAAAATTGACTCAGATTCCCAAGCCAATGTTCTTTCCCCACACCATACTGTTATTAAACAGTGTTGTTTCCAAAAATCATTTTCATTATTTTTTGATTGTCAATGAACAATTTACTCTGCACTTCAGTACATTCTGTCTAAATGATGTGGAGCTGGTTTCAGAATGTGAAATTCATTTGAGGGACAGGATCTTCCCTGCATAGGTGTCTAAAGAAACCTGCTCCCACCGCCCCCTGACACCCCTTTCAGAAACCCTAGCACACAGAAAAGATGAAGGAATTGAAAATAATGTTAATATGCCAGCTTCACATTCCAATGTTAACATTGCTTTAATTGAGGTCAGTGGTTTAAACCCATTTCTATGATTTGTAGCTTGCTGGGTAGAACCACAACCAAGGAACAGGTTGCCAACTCTTTCCTTTATAATATGGATTTTTAATTTTAATTTTTTAATATTTATTTTTTAGTCATAAATGGACACAATACCTTTATTTATTTATTTTTATGTGGTGCTGAGGATTGAACCCAGGGTCTCAGACATGCTAGGTGAGCACTCTACCCTTGAGCCACAACCCCAGCCCTATTTTTATTTTTTTTAATTTATTTTTTGTGCCAGGGATCAAATCCAGGGCCTATACATTCTACCACTGACCTACACTCCCAGCCTTATGATACAGATTTATATTTATAAATTTCCCAGGAGCAAACTCAATAATAAACACATAAGCAGCATTTATAAATTCCTTAAGTCAGTACTCTCCAGTCCTAATCCAGCTATCCTTTGATTACTTCATCTACCATTTTGATAGCATGTGAGACACCTTTCAGGTGTTCACCTTTCTTCAATATTTGAATTGTGATTTTTGTCATCCTTAACCCTCATAACTTTGATCTGTTTGATCTGACTCAGAAAGTCTATTTTTTCTCTTGTAACATTGGCTGAAAATGGCTCTTCTATGACACTTTTTGAGACAGTGCTGCCATATGGTGTGGTGAGTTGGAAACTAATCCCATTTACTATCCTTTCTTTTCTTAAATTTGAAGCACAAAACTTGAAAACATCCAAAAATTTGGTGTTGATCACATCCAGCCTCTCTTTCTCTTGGCAAGTTGTCTTCTGACTGATTCCTGAGGACCATGTCAAAGGCCCACCCTGGCAGGCCTAGCACAGTAAATGGAGTCGTGCAGTGAACAGGGAACTGGAATCAGAACATTCTTGATTAGGTCTATAATTTCCTAATGATACAATTCCCAGGATGGTCCTTCATTTTCTGACATGTTTATTCCCATGAACTAATTTTGTCAGCATGATTTTCCCCTGCAAATAA